TCCCATGTAAATTCTTAGAAATAATTTGTCGTTATATTCCCATCGCATTAGTGGAAAAATGCTCAATAATCAAATGTATTTCAGTTATTTCTGGGACGATATATTGTCCAACTAAAGTAGTTAGTAGATGCAAAACTATTGTGTATTGTGTCCTGCGCTGAGTTCAGGAACAACACCGCTTCAAGTCCAGAGCTGTCAATTGAGTGGAACAGGCAGTTGATCAAATCCAGACCATAGCAACATCACAGCATGCCAGGAGCCCCACAGACAAAGAAAAGACAATGTTATACTGCTGCTGCTGCGCACTTCAGCAACACACAAAATGATTTTCTCTAAAATGTGCCTTCCTTGCCTGGTCTGGAAACATTCCCAACAACACAAGTCGGCCACAGCCAGCATGCCAATGAATAAAATAAGCAGCGGAATGGATAATGGCCCTAGATCTGTCGGTTGATTCATTGCAGCTACTTTAATTAGTTGAATTAAGCCAGTGGATGCAGTACTGTGTGTGTGAGGCTGTTTACTCCCTGTGGGATCTCACAGTGAATCAAAGGAAACGTGAGCTGTCTCGGAGGAGGTGCCTAAGTGCAGAGGGGGATCACATTACATAAAGCTGACATAGAAGCAGAGAAAGAGTAAAAGGGGGTGTACCCCTTTGTGACAATAAACACTCATTTGGAAGGCCCACAACAAAAGTTCACCAAACTGTCCATCGCATATCAGACAAAGTGGGAGGAACTGAAGTCGGTCCAAAGATTATCACAAGAACAATAAATACACCATAAAGATATAACAATCGAATGGCTTCATTTCCTCATTCTTTCAATTTAAATGCATTATGTTAAGCCCAGTCACTAGAGTAGGATAGTTTTGAGCAAAGTGATTTGGTCTTACAGTAAGCAGGATGCTGCCGCTCTCTCCATGTTGTTTGGGACGGTAGGAAGGAAGAGGATGAACTTAGTCTTTGATACAGCACAGAGAGCCTCTGTGTTACTTTGTTTGGGCTAGAGAGGAAAAGAGTAGCCGCATTGTCCCATTGACTGCTGTCACAGTGACAAGGAAACCGGTTCTCAAGTGTCCCCACTGGATGCATCCAAAAAGGCTGAAGCACATCAAGACGGCCCTGTGTGTTCACTGGACAACACCACGTCCAAAGCCCCGTTTAAAAGGCCTGACAGGGTTTTTATTTGTGGACTGCCACTGACTGCTACGCATCGGTGTGCGGCTGAGCACTGAGGAGATGTGACAGATGATTAATTTTTCAGGGAGATTAGAGGCACGAGGGAGCGGGAGGGGGCTGCTTTGGAGAGAAGGGCAAAAGTCTAAAGGGACCCTTAAGAATACAACGCTGACCTGGAAGCAGTTCAAGACACGGTTTGCTTTCTTTATGAAAACCACATCTAAAAGCAACATTAAGCTTAAACCTTCCATTTTCCGATTTGGAAAGAATGTTATTCCAACTATTTGTGTTTATGAACGTTTAGTCTGAATGGTAAAGCAACTTAAAGAGAAGATGCGTTTTGTTTTATTCCGTGTTTAAACAACATGATAGTTGTTTCTGATCTGTTCCTAATTGAGAGGGTATTTACATTACGTTTCCAATTTGGGACCCAAACTTCAAACACCACATCTATGCTGCACATGTTAACAGAAGCAAAACAATCCTTGAATTTGCCGACGGTTTCTGATTCGCTCCATATTTAGAAAGATACTCTTTACTAGGCCCATGCTTAATCCTGACATCAAGTTTCTTGAAAATTGTGATCGTCATTTTTTCCTAAACCTGCTGACAGACATAACAAACATACGGACAAAGCGGGCCAAAACAAAACCTCCTTGGCAGAGGTCAAAAGAAACATCAAATCTAAATATTTGAAGAGTTGAGCTAGCATTGTAAAACATTTAGTCTGACAACAGTCATGTCATATGTCGTTCTCTTGGTGAAAACCTTTTAAAACAAACGGGAGGAATAAAACGAAGGAGGGACAAATGGTCTTAAACACCCATGCATATTTTAGTTTATCCAATGTTTTGTAAAGTATGCACAGGCCCCAGGGTTGCACAACTTTCTCAACCCAAGAGAGCATGAAATCCTACAAAAGCCACAAAACAAGAATAACAATCAAGCTATGAGATTATTACTCAACAGCGACAACGGCATGCTAAATGTTCTTCAGTGAGATGTTGACGTTCAAAATGTTGCATATCGAGCTTCCCTGGTGATTCTGTTTCAACCACACCCAAGCTGTCCTCAATCTCTCATAGAAGTGTAATTAAGGGACAGTGAGGAGGAGAAGAAGAAAAGCAGACACCACAGGACTCATCAGAGTCACTATGCTGAGAAGTACGACTCTGCCAAATCAACCAACTGTGAAAACTTTGTCTTTTGAGTCAGCGCTGGAATCCATTTCCCTCCCTCCCTCCCTCCCTCCCTCCCTGCTTGGACACGGCTTGGTTATGAAAAAATTATCAAAAGGTAATAGATTCATGAGGAAAGCAGCAGGGTTCTATTTCCAGCATGTCCTTAGACTGATGCATGGGTGTTTTGGAAAGATCTTTGAAAAGACTTGAAACCTGGCAGACATTCACACAGCTTTTAAGTGCGACTGATGGGAAGAAACAGCCATTAGGCCTTCGACATTTTAATGAAGGGACATTTTCTTGTCCTCGTTTTATCCAACCAAGGGAACTGTTGGAAGGTAAATAATTTATTTTGGTGAATGTCAAGGGTATGGTTCGGCTGGGCAGTGCCAGCTTTACTTACTCAGCATTATACTGTGCTCTACTAGAAGTATCTGACTTTTTGTATTCGGTCACAGCTTTAGCTAGTTAATAATTGTATTCATCCTGAACAAAGAGACTCAACTTTCTTTAGCTTGACAGCATTGTCACGTGAAGATTTCCTCTGAAGCCCGTGAAAGTTAACCCCAAGAAGGTTTTACTGCGGTCACAACCCCCCTCCCCTTTGACTGCAACCACAAAGACCCCTATCGTAGCTGATAGGAAACGCTATCTCTCTGCGTCCCCTTCTCCATGGGAACAGTAAAACACAGAGGCAGGGTGCTATGCAAACAGAGCGGGTCACACAACGTGCGCTCTGAGTGGCTGTAACTGAGCCGCTGAAAATTAAGTCCTCAGTCAGGCACCGCCGAACAGAGACGAGGGAAGTGAACCAACAGAAAAGAGAAATGCTAAACAAAGAGGTCATGCCATACGGTAATCCCTTTTGCAAATTGTAGACCTATATATGCACTGAAGGATCTCCTGGCCTCTTGCTCCTCTAATGTAGGACAGTATCAGGGAATTAAGCAGGAGGGGGGGGGGGGGTGGATTATCACAGTGCCACCGCAGCTGTAGCTACGACATCTACAGTAAGTCGCCCCCCCCTCTTCCCACCACCCTCCTCCCTGAGGGCAGACAGGGACGGCTTTCCAACCAGGGTGCTATCTGCAGCTGCACTGGATGACAAAGACCCAGGGCAGGCTGGGGGGGGCTGAATGGCAGGAAGTTTTGGCATTCAACCTGACACACATTCAACAGCCTCAGCTGGACGTGTTGGGCTAGAACCAAGTTGGATGCTACAAACTTGTTTGGCACTTTCCCATGGAGTTACTCGCTGGTTATTCCAACAGGACAATAGATAATGTGATTAGTGTTTAATGGTGCAAGAGAGAGCAAAGCTGTTTAACTTCTCAATCTAATGTGCCCCGTGTCTAATTTGACTAACATGTAGTATATTTTGGGGGCTGTGGACACTGCCAATAATTTAATCACATAAGACAAAAGCCGATGAGATAAAAATAATTTAAAATGGGTGCTGGGTGAGGACACTAAAATTGAAAAAGATCCATCTTGTCATGCAGGTGCATCTGCAAACTACTGACATCATGGAAGATTTGGCAACACCTTGAGACATCCCTGCTGGCATGATCCTCTGTGTGGGAGTGGATGGGCACTATAGTAACATTTGGATATGATTAATTATTCACTGTCATATATTACAGATTCCAGGGAACAGGAACTTACGCCCCCATGCAAAATGACCTCATTGCAGTTTTTAGGCTACTGTTGTTTGAGTTCAAGAACAATGATTGTTATACTACATTAAACTCCTAATTAACCTAAATTATTAAATGAGAGACCTGTATGGGTGACATGACATCTTAATATGTACTTGACTGTTGTAATCCAACAGTACAACATCGAAATAAAAGTTATTTTACTTGTCTTCAGAGGACTAAAACAACTACATTTAAGGGATTGGCACCATTTCACCTTTGACACTTTTAATTAACAATTTGTCAAAGGACTCATCGATCATAAATCAAGCTGTTGACTCGATTAATCACATCATGTCAACTACGTTTGTTTTTCTGAGAAAGCTGGAACAATAAAAGCGTTGTTGTCGGTTTGCCAGCGTGTTAAGTGTCCATACAATGTTATCTGTGAGATTGATACAAACTATGTAACCTCTAATTAGATAATAACTCTAATGTTGTCAAGAAAAAGCTAAATGTTTGGCAAAAGCCTCTTCACCTGCCTCTCGCGCACGAGGGTACACGCACGCGCATAATTAGACACCACTAGTGGGACTCTATTGACAAGTGACGTCAAGTTGAATGATCGATACTGGGGGCAAAAACATCGTTATGACTATGCAGAACTGTCAATTTGATAATAAAACAGTAAAATTACATGTTTCATGAAAGAAAGCAAACTTTTGGGGCCTGGGGAGCTCGCGCTTCACTCAAGCGGTATCAGTTGGCAGTATCGTCTAGTTTGAGGCATGCGGAAATGAACTCCAAATACATGATTGGATTTTCACCAAGCTAAGCAAAAGATGAACAATGTAATGAAAGATTATTCCACATGAGCATTCACGCCTTTTAAGCACGATGTAGACTTATTTAACACACGTATTCACACTGAAAAGAACCTCGTCGGTGACAAAGACAATATGAGCAGCTGGAGAAAGTGAACCCAAATTAAGAGCATATTACCTGTCGAAACACACGGAAGCACTGTAAATTATTCCAGGTCAGGGACTCGTTTTCTTCAGGAGGAACACTTTTTCTCCTCACTTCTGTCCGTGCTGCTGTTGCTGCTGTTGCTGCTGCTGGCCGACAGTCCTCTGAACAAAAATGAGTAAAAGCAGCGTCACCTCAGAGCAGACTCCGCCTCCTCCGCTGACCCCACCCTGCCACAGGAGGCGTGACTGCCGGGAGGAACTGCAGTCAATAAAATAACAGAACATTTGAGTTTACCTACCAACAATTGCCTTAGGACATGTTGCCCTTTGTAATGATGAAGTGAATCAAATTAAAAGCATTTTCCATGTTGTAGATTTATGATATGTTACCATTTTCAAAATATAATTTAAAGCGTTATCAAGCATGTCTAAAATGTTAGGACATTTAATGTATCCATGAACATGTTTGTCAAATTTGCATACACACAATTCGTGGTAGCCTAAAAATGTTTATAATAGTTTTGACTGTACTGTTTTGACTGTTCTTGTAGGCGTATATTGTAGTTTACATATTTTTGTTCCCCTATTTGAATGTAGAATGGGAGAATGGGAGCAACTGCAACATAACCACATTTATGGATAAACAGACGGACAGACTGACAGAAATACAGGCAGACAGACAGACAGACATCAACTCACACAAGCTCAGCATGATAACAAAGTACAAAGTTCACTGAAAACATTTGAGCGAAGTAACACTGACACAAAATTAGCTGTATTTCCGATAAAAATCGGATATAATAAACACTTTTGAGTTACTCGAATCACAAGACACAAATGTTATTAATATGTTCGTGTTTCTATTGTTTTTGTTCCTGATATCAAAGATAGTACAACAACAGCGCTGTGTGGTAGAAACCATTCAGAGCACCTGTAAAACCACACCTTGATTACGCACGAAACCAGACGACGCGATTAGTCACTGAGCCGGGAAACCTCCCGCTATGAGAGGGCTGCTGGATTATAACCAACATCCATCTTTATAATCGACCAATCTGCTGATTACTTTCTCGATTAATTGGTAAATCGTTTGGTCTATAGAATAAAAATGTCCATTGCACTTAAAACAAATTTACTTTAAAAAAAATGCTTGTTTTGTCCAATCATCACTCCAAAAAACCCAACTATTCCCTTAACTGTAGAGGAGCCAATATTACCATTTGAGACACTGGAGTTAAAGAACTTTTTCTTAAAAATGTAGTATTAAAACTGGTTGTGATTCAAGTTCTAGACTAATCAATTAATCGACTTATATAAATCACCTCCAAAAACTTTAACATGACACTGCCCACATTTGTTTAAAACAAACCTGTGATGCTGCAAAGACCAAAACACATTCAACAACAAAATGTATAACATAAGAGGTTTAAGAAACCACAACATGTTAACATTTGATTTCCATTGAATGCATGGGTAGTTTTGACAGGTCCCACATTTGAGGATAAAGTAGTGTCACCTTTCCGCACGTAAAAAAGGAATTTCCTAAAAATAGAATGATTGACAAGTGCTATATGCAGCAAAAGTATTTATTTTTCTTGCTTACTCATTTAAGACTAAGTTAATGCAGAAAAAACAGTACAATGTGTATCGAAGTGTCTGCCTATGTGACAGGATCTCACTGGCTGACAGAGTCAGGGTCAGGCTGTATTCTGTGTCCTGCCCCGGGCTTATGGTCATGGCACTTTCCTTTGTGACCATTGTGACAGTCATCATCTGTGCCCTCCTAGAATGAAAGAGACAGGGACGGAGCGGGACAAAGCATGCTGGGACCCTGCTGGTTATAGCTATTATATTGTTCACACTGAATGTACAGACCAACAACCCGACAAAATTAGCCTCAGGCCTAATTGACAATATTGGGTTTTCATGTATTGCTTGAGGGGCTTATAGTTTACACATTTTTGTTCCCCTATTTTAATGTAGAATGGGAGAATGGGAGCAACTGCAACATTGTGGATAAACAGACAGACAGACAGACATCACATACTTTGATAAATATTAGTTTTTCATGTATTGCTTGAGGGGCTTGATGTTTAAACTATTCATTGTATGATATAACAGTAGCTTATAATTCTCAGAGCTGTTATCAGTTGTTGTATTTTACATGTCTTTGAGTTGTTTTGGCTTTCTGAGATATTCCTTGTGCAGCAGTGACATTAATGGGGCTATTGTCTTGAAAACAGCAGCCTCTTTATTTTGAACAGTAGCCAGGAGTTAAAGAGTGGGAATTATGTAAGACTTGCCAGTTCATGTCAAAGACACCTGGCTGGCTTTTTCATCTTTCAGCACTAATTCAAGCTTTTGATGTCCATTTATTTGATACAGCATTCAAAAATGTCTCTCTGACTGTGAATATGTGAGAGGATGTTTGCTTTACCTCATGAGATAATGTGTAGGAAGTTCTCCCTTTTCTGTCTCTGTATAATTTCCCTTTACAAAGTCAGAAGGTTTTAAGAATGTCCTGTAGGCAGGGGTCAAAGCAAGCCTGCACTGGTGTCTCGCTCCAGTCTTGCCCTGTAACCTCCCAGCAAACAGACCATAAATCTCACTTCTCAATCGAATCTGTCTTTCACTCCAAGGACAGGATACGCTGATATGATGTCCCTGCTTTACAATACTCGCCTGTTTTTCTCTCTGGTCCTCTGCGTCTCACCCCACAGGAAATGGCTCTATTGTCCTGAGAGAGGATGTGGCAGACCACAAGCCCACTATGGAGACTGTGGTAAATTATTTATCATCACTCACAAATGGAAGACCAGACACTAGTATCCACGGAGGAATGTTTCGCCACAATTAACCTGCAGCTGCAGTTGACCGCCTGAACCAGAAAATCAATATGGTATTTTGTATAAATGGGTCTTTTGTTGCCGTAGTATTTACCTGTAATTGTAAAAACAATGCAAGAAAACATGACCAGATTCAAAAGTGGCAGGATTAGCCAAACCCAACCAAGCTGAGTTTTAAGGCAACTCTTTGACCTTGAAAACAACAGTTACTCTGTACCTCTGGGGCATTTGATCTTATCACACAGTCTTCAAATAGTTTGCTCACATTCTCTTGGACCTGTAGATGTTCAAATGTTATTTTATTTAGCACTGTTAGGTCTTCTTCTATATGTTTGCTCGGAAACAGCAGACCAAACTATCTACTCAAGTTCCACTTACAGTTCTTTAGCTTTCGATCAAAAACAAGCACTTTGATTTGTCAAATGCAAAGAATCATTTATTTCTGTGGGATAAACAGATTTATACGCCATTGGAAAAATCGATCAGCTTGATTCTACGCAGGCTTTTTTTAATATAACATTTGATGAAGATATCAACCAAGGATAAAACATACCTGAACAAGAGATCAAAAGAAAATAGATAAAGCCTACACTCTTTCTTTTAATTCAGACTTTTACCACTAGAGGTAGACAGACACTCACACAAACACTTTACTATACGCAAGCCTGCAGGCATTTGTTTGGGTCAGATCAGATGTGAGTGACTTTCTGCGAGTGTGAAAGTTTGAGGGTGCATAGTATGTCTGTGCACATTCTCAGGCGGGCTTGTGGTCGGCTCTAAGGGTTAAAATAGCTCAGCATTTGGTCCAGTCACATGTGGGTGTCCTCAGGTATACTACATTGGAAAGATAACGTAAGAGAGACGGCTGAAAATAACCACATACAGTATATTAATATGGCACACTAACATTCAAACTGAAGGCTGTTGTTGCTGGTCATTTGAAGGTTGATATGTGAGAACATCAACACTTATCTATTACTTGTATTGCATCTGCTGAATTAAATCTAATGATTGTGAATTGTTTAGCTGTGCAGCTTCATCTGCTTTTAAATGTTGTATAAGCCTTATTTTGTTAAGGCAAGGCAAGTCAAGTTTATATTACATTTCAACAGAAGGCAATTCAAAGTGCTTCACAAAAATGACATTTGTTAAGAGCACAACAAAGTAGTGCAGCGGAAAGAGATTCAAAATGGCATTTAAAAACAGTCATTAAAAAGCAAAGATAATAAAAATAAATAAATACATGAATTCAAGTTACAGTGCTGTGTAAGATATGTATAGTCAAGCTATTTCTCCAGCAGCTTGCATCACCTGTCACACACTTGTGGAGGCTATAGTCTGTCAGATAGGACAACCACAAATAACATCATGGTGTGATGCAATTTCTCTGGCCTAAGATACTTTGCATGTGACAAGTTTTTTTTCCACATGATTTCACCACCCATATATAAAACATACAATAAAAACGCAAGTAAGAGTGTAATGAAATATTTGTGTGACTTGAAACCAGAGCACTACAGTCATTATTCACATGGACTTGATAGACAGCCTCAGAGGTTCAGACTCTATTTTTTTTCGAAAAACAAATAATAATATTAATATGGAGTTGAAACTGTCAGATGTTATCACTATGGGGGAGTTCAAGTCCATCTTAAAGGACAGAGAACAAGAAACCATTGGTCGATGTGATTGCTCTTATATCCCCTAATTGAAGTCGTTTTAAAACTGTGCCAGTTTTTAATGTTTTTTAACAGTTTCTTTTATTAGCATATTGACTGGTTAATGTGCCATTTCATTTGTGTTTTGCGACAGTTGTATTCTGCCTTGTTCATGCTGCCCTTCTTGGCCAGGTTGCTCTTGAAAAAGAGATTTTTATCTCAATGAGACTTTTAGCTGGTTAAATAAAGGATATGTATATTTTATATAAAATAATATGCCATAAAAGGGCGCAGACTCAGGAAGGAGAGAGCAACCACCAAACAGGTCCAACCCAAACCCTCCACCACTACATTCCCCTGTCCACATTCCACAAGAATAATCGGGTCCAGAATCGGCCTCTATGCCCACCTGAAGACCCACAAGGACCAAGAAGGAGGACAGTCATACTCGACTACGAGTGACCGCCGATGATGATGATTCGTCTGCCTGTATTGTTTTGTGTTAATTTGTGTAACCTTGTTCATGCTGCCCTTCTTGGCCAGGTTGCTCTTGAAAAAGAGATTTTTATCTCAATGAGACTTTTAGCTGGTTAAATAAAGGATATGTATATTTTATATAAAATAATATGCCATAAAAGGACAGTGGTGTAAAGTACCAACATGCATTTACTCA